CACTATGTTTGTCTATGATCCTTACTTTGTGAAATATATCAATTGAACATGATTCCAATGATGCTTATTTCACAATCCCACATCTTTATTGCAAGTGTAAGAATTCCAAACTCTTCTCACTGCTCGAATGTATTAGATTCTACACTATTATGCAATATTTTTTTGTAATGTCTAGGTACCAAGAGTCATAAGGACTTGACCAACAATATTACAATACATTTCACTGGAAATTGTTACAAGACAATTCCAAGGAGATGAAGTCTCAAGTTCAAAGTACATTCATTTGAACATCCTTCTTGCATAAAAGTTTCTAACTTTCTCACAGATTCTTAATATCCAACTCCCAATATGGAAAATTTTCCCATATTCCCATTTTGAATATCACTTTTGAACAAGAGTCGCCTCCTTTCAAAATATGTAAATATGGTTCCTCTCCAAAAGTTAACACCATACTTTCAACTGTCCATGAGCAACCAATCTTCGGTAAACCTTAGATTGTCCTGAATAATTGCTTAATCATTTTAGTCATATCCAATTCTAGACCTTTTCCCCTCTTAATGTCCTAGGCATTTGGAAAATTTTGAAAGGATAAATATTATAGCACATGTAATAGATCTTATATCTGGATCATATGGGACATGATTCATGATGTCTCAGATAAATACATGATCCTATACCAGTCTTTTGCTACAATGTTTTTATTTTTTATTTTTCATGTTTTCATAAATTGACTATGAAGAGGGATGTCGTAATTATAATCGAATTTTGAGAACGCAATATATATGGAATTTCCTTATGTTGAACCATTCCAACATAAAGTTCATATATATCCTTGACTAAAGATGATAAAATATCAATCTAAGCTTTTAGAATTTAAATGAAGTATAATTTCCTCTCCCTTAATTATAGCAAAATAACTTTTCAACCCCCGCAACTTCACGAATTGAAACCCTTTAGTTTTCTATAATTAACATTGCTAACTTGCAACATTAACCATAATAATCATGCTCCCACTAACATGATAATTATTAGCATAACACTTATGCTCCCACTAGCTTTGACATGTATCCAGAAATCAGCTAGACTTCTAGAAATCAATACTTTATTGACTTTCATGCCAAAGTTCAGAATTCTGGTATGAGATGCTCTGACAAAACTTTATCAAAATCATACACCTTTTCTAAGATAGCTCACATGCGTGTCTAAAAAATTATGAAGAGGGATGTCGTAATCATAATGTTTAGACCTCATTTTCCCATTTCTCACAAGTCCATGTTAGTGTGCCGGTTAACCACACACGCTCCACTAACGGCTTTGAAATTGCAAATATCACAATTGCTATCTACTTAAAATCTACTTAGTGAAAGCGTTTCCTCACCATCATTTTCATTAGTCGGAGAGAAACCTTATGACACTTTGATTTTATGGTGTATGTGTTCCTATCCATGTGAATTTCTCAAAACCATAATCACAATACAAGGTTAGTGAAAAATCCAAACTCATATGGATTGAACTTGTGCAATCTTAACTTCTTGCCACTTGGCAACAGAAGGACTACCATTGCTTCCACGTTGTTATGCAAATAATTGAGAACTTGTAGAACTCAGATGTATAATCAACTTTAACTAGAATGGGCACAAAAATAAGAATATATCAACACGATAGGTTACAAACCTCAAGTCGTGTGTTGGTGATAAACTACAAGTTTTATTCTTGATTAGTTCTTGAAACTCTTTCAGGATATTTTAGACTCCCACTGTCCTCTTGACATATAAAACTCTCTTGCCAATAACCATTCCATTACAAAAAAAAATATTCAAGAGATAGTGCGGATTCTTATCAAGATAAACACTTCACATAATTGACCATAGGCTGTCTTTGTTTTATCCAAAACATCACAACTTACCAATTTCAAATGTACAAGAGTAGAAAACATTTTACTCTATATTTGACAGGTGTTATAAACATTCTTTAAGATATGTCACTTAAGTTACAATCTTGGAACATGACTCTAAGAATTGTTTTGGAACGAAGTATGACTCATCTTCTTGACCTAACCACTTCAAAAATTCATGACTCATCTTCTTAGCCATAAGAATGCACTAAGATGTCATCAGAGGATTAATTGTGACATGGTTTCATAATCATTAGAGTAAATTACACGAATGGTCCCTATGGTTTAGGGTAATTTGCATGTTTGGTCCCTAACTTATTTTTTTAACTCGGAAGGTCCCTACTGTTTGTTTTTGTTACGCGCTTGGTCCCTGTCTTACTTAAAAAATCTATTTTTCCCTTTATTTTTTAATTTATTTAAATAAACACACCCCTAATCTCACCCTTCTCACCTTACCTTACGTACTGCATTATTTTTTCCTATTTAAATAATAGTCTTTTTAGGTATGACAGGGACCAAGCGCGTAACAAAAACAAATAATAGGGACCAAACACGTAATAAAAACAATCAGTAGGGACCTTCCGAGTTAAAAAAATAAGTTAGGGACCAAACGCGCAAATTACTCAAACCATAGGGACCATTCATGTAATTTACTCTAATCATTAAGATGATCATAAAACATGATACTAAAGTACTCTCCCATCTTTCTAGATTCGAGAAACTTTTATCTTTCTACCTAATATGGTTCTTCTCATCTGTCCTGCTATACACTGAAACTTTTCCAATGTTCCAGAATTACACTTAAACTTGTAAGCGTAACCATATTTACTAACTTTTAGTAAATCATGACAAATAGCCTTAGCGATCTTTGTGGTGGACCTGACCAGCGCACTGCCAAGTGTACCCGATCCCTTTGTCCTTCACTTGACTCACATATATATGTGAACAACGAATTAGTCTTAATTTTCCAAAGATGAAATTATCATTCATCATACAATACAACTTGCATGATTCCAAGTTTCTATCCAATTGAAATTTGTTTGATGAGAATCTTTCATTCTTTGGTAAATTTAGACACTACCACAAATGAAAGAATCAAATTCATACTTCCAATATTGCTAGAAACATACAAACATCAATTTTTCATAAATGTCATTACAAGGAGATATAAAACAAAACAAAACCAAAACTTTATTCATTTACTGTGGAAAAACTTTTTCCTTACAATGCAATTTTAAATGAAAACTATGCTATTACATATTTCCTAGCAATCTATCATAACCCCTAAGTAGTATCTCAAAAATCCGATCTTCGAACCATGCGATTGAAATCCATCTTTGCGATCAGATTCAACATACTCTTCTTTTACGCTTCCTTCCCCTTGCTTGATCCTACAAAACATCAAAATGCAACCTAGTCACATCACGTATTAAGAATAAACAATTAGGAACTTAACGGAGTTGGATAGTAGACTTACCTGAAGCAGAGTCAAACGTTTTGATTCTTCCTTCTCTCATATCTTTTAGGTAGTTAAGGCAGCTTCACAACCAATGCCTTTTCTCTTGACAATAAAAACATATAGACTCTTTGGGAATGGTATACATGACTATCACAAACTTAGCATTTCCCTTTACCTTTTGGTCAATCCGGTTGACCAAGGCTGATCCCTTTCCATTGGGAAAAGAAAGCTTTTCTCGACTTCCAATGTTACCATTGTCCATGGAAGTTTGAGAAATAGACCTTCCACCTAAATTTACTTTTCCGGTGCGCCAAAACATTTCTGATTCAGCAGCAACAACTAAATAAGAAAGATTAATAAGGTTCATGGCGTGATATATCACATAGTAGTCCTTAATGAACTCACTATACGACTCAGAAAGTGACTGAAGAACCCAATCAATAGCCAACTTCCTTGGGAAAACGACACCCAACATTCTAAACCTGTCAATGTGTGACTTCATCTCTAAGACATGAGTACACACAAGTCTTCCATCTTTATGTTTCATTGCAAGTAGTGCTTTAGTGATCTTGAACTTTTCAAGTCTTCGAGCTTGTGGGTCAGGGAAAATGATTGGAGGAGGTGGAGGAAGAGAAGTATGATTTCCATGATCCAATTGTGAGACATCATCTTCACTAGGAAAGCTTGTTCCAAGAGATTTGGGAAGACCATAGTTTTCTGAACCAGACATCTACAATGGGAGAAATTCAAGTTAGTTGATTTAAGCCCTTAATATAACACTCAATATGAAGTATTAAGGCTAGGACCCAACATAATATTTTATAGCTTGGAAGAGGGATGCCGTAATCCAAGCTATGAAATATTTGAAGGTAGGCGAATGACGATTCACCAATTTCCACCATGAAAAATGAAATAAATTATTAGGTTTTAATTGGATTTGAAACTCCTAGATCTTTTGAGATTCATTGAACTTTTCAATAACATGTTTAAATCTCGATTGTGCCCTATCAAGTTTGTGACTGGGATGCTGAGGATCACAAATAAGGTGTGAATAACCATGAAATTTAACTTGGTACCCTTAATCTTTATCACCTAATCGATGTGCCGGTTACCTACATGCGCTCCACCGATCTATGATAAACATTAAGTCACCCTTTCACCTTCTGGATTTGTTCAACTAGTTCATCCATAATCTTGTTTTCAGCAGCAAGATCATTCCGCAATCAAAGAATCGTATTTGAAATAGATATATGAGGATCTGCATTGTCCTTTTGTATGCCAAACCTTAAGTTAGACAAAGCATCTTTCTCCTATTGTAAATAAGTACGAAAGCCTTCAATAACTTTGTTCACATCAGCAACATTTTTCTTTGAAGAAGTTCTGAAATCATTTACAAATTCCTTTACTTCTTTCAAAAGCTTCTTGATTTTTTCAGTTGCTTTAGAAATTTGATTTGTAGAAGATTCAACCATTTTCCTTGTATCTTCATGAACCTTTGCATTTGAAGAAGTTAAAGATTCAACTGTAGCCAAATGAGTCGTCACAAGATTTTTCCAGTTCATTGTTGAAAAATTAGTTGTATGATTCAAGATTGAATCAAGCTTCTGATTCAGCTGTCTGAACTGGCCTTTCGTCATCAGAGCATCATCATCCCATCACTATCAACGCAATAAAAGATGGAAGAACAAAACCATCAATAGGTTCTGGATCATCCCCCAAAATGACATCTTCATTAATATTTGAATTAGGAATGGAATAAGAAATGTTCCCAACAAATACACCAATATTGACATTTGATTCAACATTAGATGTGTTACCAGTGATGCATGAAGACCTATTCTCCTCCTCGTCGGATTCGACGGTAAAGCCTTCTGGTGGATTTGCAGTTGAGGTTATTGTCAGATTTGTAGTAGATTTAGTAAAGATTGGAGTGGATAAAGGTTTAGAAATATGAGGTTGAGATGTATTTACTGAATTCATTTTTAGTAAAGGTGGAATAGATGAAATCAAAATTGATGTTGTCATTGGAGAAGTAGATGTAGAAAAAAGAGGTGGTAGTGGAATTTGAGATAATTTCATAATTGGCTTAATATTCTCAAATTAATCTGATTCACGTGGAACAGATGAATATTATGGACTAGATACCTTCAGATATGCCTCTGTTGTAGGAGGTTCTGAAACAATTAGAACTGCAGTATCAGTAGCGGTATCATCTTCATCATTTCAAATAATGTCTTCTCCTAGAACGTCACTATATGTTCGCTCTTTAGAATCTTCCTTGAACACAGGTGATGGTGCGTTTTTGGCTTTTTCACTGGATTTTTAATTTTCTTAGACATTCGCAGCAACAGTTGCAACTGCTTTGGATTTCCTTTTCCCTCCTCGCTTCGGTAGATCACCAACTTCAATTATTTTCTTCAAATCAAAAGGAATATCACGAACACCAGACACATGTAATTTCCAATAAGCCCTAATTACTGCATTGTTCAAAGGGGCTTTCTCCATCATTACTTTAGGAATCGACCCTAAAAAATTGAAATTCCTCGGATCTGTAATGACAAAAGTTGTTGTCTGCATCATCTGAATCTCTACCATCACCAGTCATCTCCAAAACTTTGTAGTGAAGAGGAGCTTTCTTTACCACAATGGACCAAAATCTAGCACGGGAAATTTCCATGTGTCGAGTAGTCGAATTAGCACTTTGTGCAAACTGATTCCATATGATTGAACCAAGATCAACTTTTGTTCCAGTATAAAGCCCATAAATTAGTGTGTAAAAGATTTTACTTGCATTGTCAAATCCTAAAACCCTCTCTGATAAACTTTTGAATAAAATGGTAAACAAACCATTCCAAACTAGTGGCAAAAATGATTTTCTGAATTTAGAGAGCAACAAAATGTCAGAAGAATAACCCATCAGGAAGAACATTTCGATTATACTTTTTACTTGAATCGATTATGGATCAACATACTCGGTAGACAATTGGAACTCTAACAGTTGACAAAAATGTGTTTTCGAGATTGAAGTTCTGTGCCCGACAACTTCAACATTGATAATCCAAAGTGGTTTGTTGTAGAATACACATGTGAAAGATGAACAAGAGGAAGTATTTCATGCATCATAATAACCTTCATCAATGATAAGAAACGTAAACACTCGATTAAGGGCTTGATCGGTGTGTTGTATTTTGAAGCATTGAGATCAGAATAAGGTTTTGATTTGCTTTAAGTTGAAGAAGACTGCTCAACAAAAGAAATACGCTCAGATGAAGTCATGATTGTTGAAGAAGATGATGAATAGTAAAGAAAAATTTTCAATAATTGCCTAAGCTTTAGTTGAAATGGTATAAAATGAAAATGCATAGTTTCCTTTTAATAAAAGTTGATGAGTGGAGAGAGAAAACCATTGTTTCCCATGTCCATCATGTTACAAATATAGCCAATAACTTAATGTCATCTCATCATATTCCTATAGCTGTCAAGCATTGTTTGAATTTCCAAAGCATACGTCAGAGAATACAAAAATACACGCCATTAATTGAATTATCTTTAATATAACATGCCTGTTTCGGTTTGAAACAGTTCGGAATCATTGATCCACCCTTCAGCTTTGCATAAGCCAAAAATGTTTCCATTGGAATTATAATCAAGATTCACCTTTGGAATTATAATAACCATTTGGAATAGAAACTAGAGTTTGTAAAATCACTAGGACTTTAGTGCAAGAGTGTGCAAAAGAATAATAATTAAACAAATTAAAATTTTTTATACGATTTGTGATATAAAAATTATTTGATATGAAAAACATTATGATCCTGGGCAACGATCTCTTCCTTCTTAGTCAAGAGAGACTCAGAAGTGCTTATATGATTTCCCGTTGAATTACGATCGCCAATTTGTGAAGAAATTGTGAAAGGCTTCTTTTGTTAAGTAATTTGGGTAGACTTGTTTCCATTTGTAGATGCATCTTAAAATAAGAGCAGGGATACAAATACGAAACCTTGATTGATCAATGTGATCCGAATCAAGAAAAATTTAACCTGGTTCATGGGTCGTAACACCGAGGTAAAAAAATTAAATGAAAAAGCTGGATCTATTTGGAAGAAATTATATGCATTCAACGCTTCATTAAGATCACACAAAAGATTATTTGAAATATCAAAACTTTTGGTACACCGTTAAATCATTTTGTAAAAATCTAGAACAATAAACTGTTCACCGTCAATTTATTAAGGAGTTGTTTGTTGGGTTTCATTGAAGTCACGGTGATAAAAACTTCACGATCATAAACACATATTTTTCTATAATCTCGACCCCAGTTGATTTTTTCCAGGAATCTTAGGATTACAATTTATAAACTGGAATTAGTGGGGAAGTAGAGATTGGAAAAGAATGGTTGGTGGGTCTCACACAAATAATGTTCAACAACGACTTACAATCATAAACACATAATGTTTGTAGCCCTATACCGAAGCAGTTATTACTTCAATAATCAAGAGACTACGTGTAAGTCGTGAAAAGTTATGGTGAAAAGTTAGAATTTAGGAACGAAAGATTCTATATGAAAATGTCATCAAAAGAATTAAGTTAAAAGATTTGAACAACAACGAGTAAATAAGACCTGATTCGATTAATAGGCACTGTAGAACAGTTCGTTACAAAGAGTGCATAACTATTATGTATTTGCTCCTAAGAACAACGTACTTATTCTACTAACAAGTACACTATATATAGGACGTGTAAAGAGTAACTTGGAAGGATATATAAATTACGAAAACAACATGCTAAATTAGGAATCAAAATAAAGACTAATACAATTCAGAACACTACAACATTGGCACAACAAGTTTTGAAACTGTAACGACCCAAAAATCAAGGGTAAAAAATTCATTTTTAATATAGCTAAAACATTGATACCATTCATTCTAATCAATTCAAATCATCATTAAGTAAAACATTTATCAAAGTTCATCCCAAAATCATTCATTGCGGAAATCGTAGGTGTGTGCACTGCGATCAATCCGAGCCCTTCCTTTCCAAAACGATGATACTTGAAACCATAAACAAAACCTGTAAGCACGAAGCTTAGCGAGTTTCCTAGAGCATACCATACACACAAACCACATATCACATATCCTGTTGCTATAAAAGCTACTTGTATAACATTTCATGCTAGCTATAAAAGCTACATATAACACATAGGCCATGTATACAAAAACCTATAAGAATGCCATAGGCTACCCCACATGGTCTCTACCTAGGACTATCATGGGCTACCCCACATGGTCTTACATCCAATGCCATGGGCCACCCCACATAGTCTTTACCTAGGACTATCATGGGCTACCCCACATGGTCTTACATCAAATGTCATGGGCCACCCCACATGGTCTTTACCTAGAACTGTCATGGGCTACCCCACATGGTCTTACATCCAATGCCATAGGCCACTGGTCTTTACCTAGGACTATCCTAGGTTACCCCACATGGTCTTACATCCAATGCCACGAGCTCCCCCCGGGGACTTCCATGCAAGTATCACAAAAACAACTAGCATAACACATATCGTATAATCACTACCATACCACTTAACATAAAGCTAACTATCATACCACATATCTCTACTACAACTAGTGTACTACATAACATAAAATTGGCCAGTCTTGGTGCCTTTGACCCATTGGTATGGTGAGAAGACTCACCTCGAATGCAGAAGCTCCCTGAAGAAATCCTTAGCTGCTGCCCCGCCATCTTCCGGAGCTGCCACTACCGATCAATATACCCAAGTTAGCAATTGGGCCCCATACCATAATCCTAGATCAACGTATGGGGTAAAATAACCATTTTACCCCTAGCCATATATGATCCACAACTAAGGCCCAATTCCAAAACAAAAGCCCAATACTAGGTAGGCTTTTCAAGCCCACTAGTGGCCTATTAATGGCCTAATTTGCCAAATTGGGCCCAAATCCTCCAATGGGCTTTACCCTAAGCCCGAACATCTCCTTGGCATACATTTTCTGACTTATAATGGCCCATTAAGGCCCATAGAACCAAAATCCCTTGCATCACCCAAACCGATGCCCAAAATAGCCCAAACCCATGTCTGATGAGTACGCTGGGCATACTCCTATGTAAGCTAAGCGTACAAGCCAAATGGTGAATACACTGGGCGTACCTGCATGTACGCTCAGCGTAACCCACCCATGATAAGTCACCTTCCCATTAAGTGCTTAATACTCTACTCCAAAAGCTACAATTACAAATCCAAGTCCTTATTGATGTCTTAAACCATAAAGTTGCTTACTTGATGGCTTTGCATGTGACATCCCCAAAATCTCGGCCATAAACGACCGATTTCATTTATGCTTTTTAAAATAATTTCAGAGTAAATCCTTTTGATTTAAAAGTGTTGCGGAATTTGTTCCCAAAACAAAACATGATAAAATAATATTTATCAAAGCATTTCATCAAGAGATGCATTTTCATTATATAATTAAAACTCGGGGTGTCATGTTCCGATACAGACCATAAAGCATAAACGATAACATTACAAGTCATTCAACAAATATATACATATACAGACTTGTAAACAAAACAACTCGATGATTCATCCATCTTACGCCTTTGCGCCACTTCCTGTAATACAAATAAAACTGAGTGGGTCAGGCTGGAGATCCTAGTGAGCATATAGGGTTTTCAACCCACAATAAATAAATTATATTTAATTTCACCAACCAATCACTATCCCGATTACCCATTCCCGTTATCCTCACTTTACGTCCCTAAAACAACATCTATCTCAAGGGACCTAATCTAGGATTTTCATTGGGACGAACATTACTGCTAAGGGGTTTCCTCAACAATAGATATCCTAAAGGCAACCATGAGGGGGATAGAGTACACCGATGAACACACCGTTCACAACACCTACAGGTTATGAACCTGCTAGCGTTCCACGAGACTGTCTAGAAGGAGTCTGTGGTCGTTATCCATACTCCGCTGAATAACTAGGTCAACAACAA